CAGGCAAACAGAAACGAAAGTCAACCGTTTGTTATTCCAGTGAAAAGGACATTAGATAAAGATCTTCGATAATTAGGCCATCACGTGAAAGGAACATGAAACAGGACAATAGAGCCAAAGGTGTTGGCTAAAATGCTTTTAGTTATTTTCAAAGTTAGTAAAGAAAGGCACAATCCTTTATTCGTTTTCCAGCCGAACGGCATTCCCATCACTTGGCTTTTTATAAAACTGCAGTTTGGGGCTTGAGAAATGTAACCACTCCCAAATTCATAGATGGCTCTACAGATGCAGAACGCAAGTATAGTGCGTTGCAATATAATGACTGCCATGAGATTAAAATGATAGTTTTTAAGTAATTTTTGTCTACGAAAACATTGTTTACAAACAGTGGAGTAAAACAACCTTTTATTTTGGCCTAAGAGAGTTGTACTAAGCTTATATGACACTGTTTAAAGTAATATTCTTCATTGTGGCTTTACAGTAAGTAATGTAAGTGACATGCCAGTATTTTTATTGTTTTGGCCCATCCCTTGACACTAGGTGGCGCTAAAGGCTTGCATGTGACAATACGGCAACTACACCTGTGAGTGAACAGTGACTCTGCAGGTGGCACTGTGGTTTCTTTAACAGTTATTACAGTAAAACGACAACCATCATCTCTTCAGTAAGGGCATTACACTACAAAGCATCACTATCAATTGAGAGCACTGTAACAAATGTGTGTTTTGGTAAACTAACTGTAACCAGGCCATGGGACTTTGCAGAACAAATGAACAAAGTGACCAGAAAGTGAAGCGTTTAAAGCAACCCATTTGAGTGAGTCTTTGAAAATATACAGTGAGCTACAAAAGTTTTGTTTCTTTGGCTCTGTACTCCAGCACTTTATACAATGACTATGAGGTTAACGTGCAGACTGTCAGCTCTAATTTGAATGTATTTTCACACATATCAGGTGAACTGTTTAGAAATTACAGCACTTTTTGTACATAGTCCCCCCATTTCAGGGGACCAAAAGTATTGGGACAAATTGACTTATATGTGCATTAATGTAGTCAAAAAAATAGTATTTGGTCCCATATTCCTAGCACGCAATGATGACATCAATCTTGTGACTCTACACACTTGTTGGATGCATTTGCTGTTTGTTTTGGTTGTTTTTCACATAATTTTTTGTGTCAGATCATTTTGTGCCCTATAGAAATGAATGCTAAATCATGTATTGTATCATTTTGGAGTCACTTTTATTGTAAATAAGAATAGAATATGTTTCTAAACACTTCTACATTAATGTGGATGCTACCATGATTACGGATAGTCCTGAATGAATTGTGAATAATGATTAGTGAAAAAGTTAGACGCACAAATATCATAGCCCCCCAAAAATGCTAACATCCCCTGTTATTGTAATGGTGAGAGGTTAGCATGTCTCTGGAGTATGATATTTATGCGTATAACTTACACACTCATCATTATTTACGATTAATTCAGGACTATCCGTAATCATAGTAGCACTATGTACAAAAAGTGCTGTAATTTGTAAGAGGTTCACCCGATAGGGAGGAAAATACCCTCAAATTAAATCTGACAGTCTGCACTTTAACCTCATTGTATCATTTCAAATCCAAAGTGCTGGAGTACAGAGCCAAAACAACAAAGAAATATGTCACTGTTCCAATACTTTTGTAGGTCACTGTATACAGTGCATTCGGAAAGTATTCAAACCCCTTCACTTTTTCCACATTTTGTTATGTTACAGCCTTATTCTTAAATGGATATAATTATTTTTCCCCCTCATCATTCTATACACTATACCCCATAATGACAAAGCGAAAACAGGTTTTTAGAAATGTTTGCAAATGTATTAAAAATAAAAACAGAAATACCTTATTTACAAAAGTATTCAGACCCTTTGCTATGAGACTCTAAATTGAGCTCAGGTGCATCCAGTTTCCATTGATCATCCTTAAGATTTTATACAACTTGAATGGAGTCCACCTGTGGTAAATTCAATTGATTGGACATGATTTGGAAAGGCATACACCTGTCTTCTATATAAGGTCCCACAGTTGACAGTGCATGTCAGAGCAAAAACCAAGACATGAGGTCGTAGAGCTCCGAGACAGGATTGTGTCGAGGCACAGATCTGGGGAAAGATGCCAAAAAAATTATGCAGCATTCAAGGTCCCCAAGAACACAGTGGCCTCCATCATTCTTAAATGGAAGAAGTTTGGAACCACCAAGACTCTTCCTAGAGGTGGCCGCCCGGCCAAACTGAGCAATCGGGGAGAAGGGCCTTGGTCAGGGAGGTGACCAAGAACCCAATGGTCACTCTGACAGAGCTCCAGAGTTCCTCTGTGATGATGGGAGAACCTTCCAGAAGGACAACCATCTCTGCAGCACTCCACCAATCAGGCCTTTATGGTAGAGTGGACAGACGGAAGCCACTCCTCAGTAAAAGGCACATGACAGCCCGCTTGGAGTTTGCCAAAAGGCACCTAAAGGACTCTCAGACCATGAGAAACAAGATTCTCTGGTCTGATGAAACCAAGATTGAACTCTTTGGCCTGAATGCCAAGTGTCACGTCTGGAGGAAACCTGGCACCATCCCAACGGTGAAGCATGATGGTGGCAGCTGTGGGGATGTTTTTCAGTGACAGGGACGGAGAGACTAGTCAGGATCAAGGGAAAGATGAACGGAGCAAAGTACAGAGAGATCCTTAATGAAAACCTGCTCCAGAGCGCTCAGGACCTCAGACTGGGGCGAAGGTAGTGGCGTCGGGGTAAGTCTCTGAATGTCCTTGAGTGGCCCAGCCAGAGCCCAGACTTGAACCCAATCGAACATCTCTGGAGAGACTTGAAAATAGCTGTGCAGCGACGCTCCCATCCAACCTGACAGAGCTTGAGAGGATCTGCAGAGAAGAATGGGAGAAACTCCCCAAATTCAGATGTGCCAAGCTTGTAGTGTCATACCCAAGAAGACTCAATGCTGTAATTGCTGCCAAAGGTGCTTCAACAAAGTACTGAGTAAAGGGTCTGAATACTTATGTAAATGTTTTATTTACGTTTTTTGTTTTTAATACATTTGCCAAAATTTCTAAAAACCTGTTTTTGCTTTGTCATTAGGGGGTATTGTGTGTAGATTGATTAGGGGGGAAAACAATTGAATCCATTTTAGAATAAGGCTGTAACGTAACATAATGTGGAAAAAGTCAAATTGTCTGAATACTTTCCGAATGCACTGTATATTTTAATATGTAGCATCTAGTAGTGCAACCCCGTCAAGAGGTTTGGACCTCTTTTGAGTGTAATTGCGAAGGTCTTAGACTGTCAGATCCGGATTCAGTCCCAGTTGGGTTATCACCCGAATTTGCTGCCATTTATCACTGAGATAGTTAGTGTAAACCCAATATGTCATATTTCCTAGAACTTGCACCTTGTGGTAGAACTATGTCTCTGAAAGACCTTCAGTCCTGCTTTAATCCACTGTGACTTTATAGGTGTCACCACCTGTAACAAATAGCTAGGACACTGAATCATCGGGTTTTAGTGCTGGGGTCTTCCACAAAATATAAATATTTCTTTGTTAATGTGTGTGCTTTCCCTCTTTTAGAAGATTATACTTGGACATTTTTAAGCAGTATGGTAAAAATGACACCAAGCCTGAGAGGGCAAGGTGGAGCTTCTATCACATTGTTATACCCATCCATTCGGGGAGGGACCTACCTGAATTTGTACTATAGAAATTCTTGTTTTCGTTGGTGTGCAGTGATGAATAAACCCCAGATCACCCAGTCTCCCACACGATTTCCACAACCTAGGGAGATTCTAAATTGGGCAAAAGCCCGTCCTCCATTCCTCCGTGACCCGGAAACCAATAAGTGGTTGAGGAGTCAATTTGTTAGTAGGCGAACAGAAGAGTCTGCTCCCCTCGATTACCTACTTCGGCAGGAGGCACAAGAGTATTCTCGTGTTTTAAAATCCGCCACATCTTTTGAATCAGGTGTTGTTTTCTCGAAGGGGAAAAGAATGCACACATTTAAAAATGATATGGTACTTCTCCTTTTATCTGTAAAATGTATTACACAACTAGCTAAATTAGTTTGTCACTTTACACACTTTGTGATTCCACCCCTGCAAAGTCATTTTGCCTGATGACGCTTGAGTGGGAGTCATTTCATAGATGCACATTGGTTTCCACATTTCTTCTCCTTGCCGCCTCTATTACCTTGAGTGTTGGTGGTTCCCAAACAAAGTAAAAAATAATAATTGGTGAGCAAAACCAATTGAGATTCTCCCCTAACTTCCAACCAAGGCTACTTCTTATAGAAAAACCACCCATCTTCAGCATTGGTTTCTACCTCACCAGTTGCCACTGTTGCTCTTCGGAGGTTTATGCTCGGTCCTTGTTAAGTACTTTGACATGTACGTGAAAATGTTATAATATGAAAATGATAGATGCAATTGATGATTGATCAGTTAAACTTTTTTTTTTAATTTGCCAAGCTTTCCTTCACATACAGCTTTTCTTATAAAGCTGTAAAGTTATACAGCTGTAATGATTTAAAGTGTAGTCTGCTCATTATGAGTGTTTAAGTCAAAATGAAATGTGAGAAGAGAACGTTTGTAGCCAAGCATGATTAAAAAAAAAAAATTGTGATCCAATTGACATTTTAGTCATTTAGCAGACGCTCTTATCCAGAGTGACTTACAATTAGTGAATGCATACATTTTTCATACTGGCCCCCGTGGGATATGACATTGACATGCTGTGGCTCAGCTCATATGCATGGTACCTTGTCAGTCATTGATTTGTCAGTTGATAGTTGTTTACCTCAAGCATCCTCCTGGAGTTCTGTGAAGTTGAAGATGTACTGGTTGAAAGGTCTTGGATGAAATGAATGTGGTACATTCATCCATTTAAGATTTGTGTGTAAAAAAACAGTTCACTGATAACCCTATCCCAAGACTAACCGGTCTCCCACATCCACATGGCATAGGATGACAAAGGCAAAACACGATCAGGAGGGGATCAAACATTTATTTACCCTTATTAAAAGTTACAATAAAACCATTAGCATCTTTAAACGATAGCAAAATAAAGAGAAACAAAAATATTGGCCAAAACATATTTACAGAGACAACTTGCTGATAAAAAGCTCACATTTTTGTATACACGACCCAACATATGCATCATAAACTCTGAAATGTGAACGCCGCAAGACTCAGAAGCTCAAATGTGGTTTAGCCAGAAAATAACCAGAATGCACAAACAAAGACATTGCCTTATCCAACTCCCCTCCTTGAATTTTGTTTTTCTATACAGCACAAAATACTTAATTTGGGGGTAAAACTTAGGAATGTAGAATTTTTAAAAATGTATACAATGATTTGAAAGGTTTGTGTCTCCATATAACAGTCATTTCGAGTGAAGGAGGTTGTCTGCCCTGCTCCATAACCGTTGTCGATTTTTAGATCCCCAAAAGATAAGAAAAAATACAATGTTATAGGGCTGCCACAGTTAAAAGTATGCTTCTCCATAAATTGGGAAAATAAGTCAGTATTCCTGATTCGTTCTACATCCAATCCAATACCTTCCCCACATGCCAGTCCCAGTGTGTACCATGAGGGGGCGCCGTAAGCCAACACTTTCATCATGAGAGGGCTAGTGAGATTCCATCAGTAGAGAAATGATAAAGGCAGTGAACTGGTGGCTGAATCAGCAAACATGATATAGCCTTCATTTGTAGTTTTGTTTATAACTTTAAGAACGTGGCACGAGTCTCATATATTTATATACTTTAATCTTGGAAAAACAGTTCAAGTAGCCGCGACGAGGCACAGTCACTCTGCCTTGGGTTCGGCCTCAGATGCTACGGGTGTCGTGACCTCTGTGGGGGCGGCGGCCTCCTCTGCAGGAGCGGCTTCCTCTGCTGGAGCGGCCTCCGCTGCTGCAGCCTCACCCTCTGGGGCCGGAGTGGCCTCCTCCTTGGCCTCTGCCACAGGCGTCTCCTTTGCTGCGTGGCCATTCTCCTCTAACTTGGCCTCTGCCGTGGGGGAGGCAGCCTCCTCCTTGCCCCCCTCGCTGCTCTTCTTGGTCTTCTTGAGCGAGATGCCCTTGAACTTGAAGGAGTTCTTCAGGGAGAACTTCTTCTTCTTGGCATCCTTGGCGGCCTCCCCCTCGACCTTAGCCGCCTCTCCTTCGGCAGCAGGGGCAGCCTCGATGGCATCTGTCTCGCCCTCTTTGGCTGGCTCGGCTGTGTCATTCCCGTCTACGGGAGCTGTGTCCCCATCGGGCTTCGCAGAGACATCTCCATTGGTTTTAACATGGCCATTCTCCTGTGGACAACAGTGAGATAACCATTTACACATTCGCAAAATAAACTGGTATGGGGAGAAAGTTACAGTAACCATTATATGCAGCCCATACCAATATCAAATTGACTCAACAATCTACAAGCCAATGTTGATCAAGAAAGTGGCTCAGGAGATTTTAAAAAAATCAAGACTTTAATTATCTGAGATAAGGCAGTGTGATATGGCCAACCGACATAGAGGTTGTGTCATTGTGGACGATTACTTGACTAGGTCAAATGCAAAGCGCTTCATATGCACAGCAGGTTTGCATTACTCGTATCGACCACGTGGGGTCAGTCGCACTCCACCACAGCCAGTCGAACAGCAAGCTGAATTTTGTAACAAAGGAATCACCATCGAATCTAACAGCAGATTGCAAAATGTCAATATCGTACATTTCTAGCCTTTCGAATAACCCAAACTAACTTCACTCAATATGATTACATGTCCTAGCCTTTTGGCCAAGCATAAATTAACAATATTTGCTAACGTTAGCTAAAGAATGCACCAACTGTAGACATGCCGCCTCAATGAGATGGTAGACTGGCAATTGCACCCATCAGCTAACGTTAGCATAGCGACTCATTGTCCAGCTAACGGGCATGCAGGCATGTACAATAAAACAAGGTTTGAGTAGATAATTTAGTGTTTCCAGCTCAACGGATAAAGGATTACATCGAAAATGGCACAAAAGTCTGATTGCTCGCTTTTTTCAACAGAACGCTTTCCTGTCCTGCCCGTGCGCTTTGTTTGCAACGAGCCGACCTCATTTGCATCCTTTGCACCTTTTGTTCCGCGAGTGGGCGACCGATGATGGCTTATAGTACCAACTCATGAGAGAAAGCTAGTTAAATTAAATCCGCTTTCCATTCAGGTGATAACTATGTGACTTTGCCTGGTGTTAAAGAACGGACAACTAGCTACTTGATTAGATAGACTAAAAACTCGAGACGAATTTAACAAAAGGTTCTGGTGGTGGTTGTGGCGCATGGCACCCATCAATTAGCCACTCAACCAAGCACAGTATTAGCTAAAGCATTTAATTACAAAATGTCATCTCTGCTATCGAAACAAGTGGTTCAACTGCGAATAGTCACATTTTTATCCTAATATAAGTTTAGGTAATTAGTCAAATGTACTGTAACTGTTAGTTGTGAGGTCTCGCTAGCCTGGTAACACGTTGCCCATCCAACTCACGCTGGAGGTGGGCATTGGGTGCCAATGTGAACGCGTACAACTGTACTTCTCTCTTACCTGGCCATTTGTTTTAGCGACAGCCGGGTCGTCGACGGCTTTTCCCTCAACAGCTACTCCACCCTTGGACAACTGAGCTCCCATCTTTTAGGTTTTCTAAACAAAAAGAAAATCTAAAAGAAAAACCTCGAGACGATTTACGGTTTTAAATCCAGCCAGAGATAGGTAGATCTTGCCAGATTTTGAAATCGGTGTTGATCCCTTTTCTTACGTTTGAGAAGCAACAAAAGTTTCCCCACTCTGGTCAACTAACCTCACCACAGCTGAGCACAAATTAAAGAAGGCTAGGGCTACAAGTGTGAGTATTTCAACCGTGCCTCAAAATTGTGGAAGACTCCACCTATGGGCGTGACTGCACGGACATACCCAATCTGCAACCATGGGTTGGGGTTGGAATCCCCTCCTCGCCCCCTATCAGCTTCAACGGGAGTATTTATTACAGACGTTATGAATATGGCGACTGTACAAGTAAGAATTGTATCTTTATTTACAGATATTTTTTATTAAACATGAATAGTAAATAACACTAGTGTCATATCTGAAGGTTTCCAAGTACTTTACTTCAAATTAATGTAATTAGAAAATCCTCCATACAGTGGACTGCAATTCTACACTAAAAAGAAAAGGTAGCTGAGGCACCTTTAGAGGGTTCCTCAGATTTCAACACCGGGTGAACACCTAAAGGTGCTTCCAGGAACCTTTTCAAATAACCTTTTAGGGTGTTAAGGTTCCTGTAGGAACCTTTTATGTCCCATGTATTCTATTATGAATAATAATATTAACAATAATAATACAAATAACATTGAGTAGCAAACTTGTAAAGTCACAAATTAATTTTATTGACTTTAAAAGTCACAGAAATCTCACTTGCAGACATCACAGAAGTCTCTGGTCTCCCTTATCCCGCTCTACAGCAAAAAGTTTAACATTCGTACAACATTTGTTGGTAATTTAACCCCCCCTCATTAATTCTCAGAGCACATTTCTGAATGAACAGCATAGTGCTTTTCACTGATGCTGCATACTCAATATTAAAAAGGAAATGGACCCCCATTGCCACTACCAATCCCATGGAGACAAAACCATGGTGCTTGCCTATGGAGCAGTGAGGGGAACGGCACCTCCTTACCTTCAGGCTCTGATCCTACACCCAAACGAGGGCACTACGTTAATCCACCTCTGGCCTGCTAGCCCCCCTACCTCTACAGAAGCACAGTTCCCGCTTAGCCCAGTCAAAGCTATTCGCTGCTCTGGCACCCCAATGGTGGAACAAGCTCCCCCACGATGCCAGGACAGCGGAGTCACTGACCACCTTCCGGAGACACTTGAAACCCTACCTCTTTAAGGAATACCTGGAATAGTCTAACAGTAATCCTTCTACACTCCCCCTCCCCCAGTGGTGGTTGTCCCACTGGCTATCCTAAGTTGAATGCACCAATTTGTAAGTCGCTCTGGATAAGAGCGTCTGCTAAATGACTTAAATGTTAAATGTTAAAAATGTTAAATGAGATGTCCTCCGGCTCTTCAGTGAGTAGCTCCTCTCCATCCAGGAAGAGTTGGATGTGACTCTCATCTGCAAAGCGGATTCCCCTCTATTCTTATGGTAGGTAATGGGAACTTTACACATTGTAATAAGTAAAAAATAAAAATAAAATAAGGTTACTCAAGTCTTATTTCAAACAGACTCTTTGGCTGATTGATGTGTCATGTTGCTGGCCAGTTGATATGTCATGCTGAAGGCCAATTGGTGTGTCATTTTGCTGGAAAGATGTTGGGTTATTTTGCTGGGCTGTTTGCTGCAGCTGTGAATGAACAATAATATCGTTTTTTGGGGCTTTCAGGCTCAGAAAGAAAGAAAAAAGAGCAGAGAATTGTAATAGGATCAATGTGATAGAATCAATTATGCAGATAAGTCATACATTGACTTACCTATTTACAGCTTTTAGATTCTCCATTCATTTTGTGAATTTGATTCGAACTTCTTCGTAAGTGGTGACTTGTTTTTGAATGAGGCGGTGATGAACCAGTGTGGAGAGGTACAGTGCCTTCGGAAACTATTCAGACCCCTTGACCTTTTCAAGGGGTCTGAATACTTTCCGAATGCACTATATATTTAGGAGTTGGGAAGTATCCTTGTGGTCAAGATTTCCTAATCTGAAGTACACTGTGGTCAATTTGTGCTTGCCTTTTTTTAGAACCCAGTGGAATGACAACTTCAAATTAATCTACATAGAACTTTGTTAGGTTGGGATTTGATTTGCCCTCTTGTAGCTCAGTTGGTAGAGCATGGCGCTTGCAACGCCAGGGTTGTGGGTTTGTTTCCCACGGGGGGCCAGTATGAAAAATGTATGCACTCACTAACTGTAAGTCGCTCTGGATAAGAGCGTCTGCTAAAATGACTAAAATGTAAAATGTAAAAAACAATTCACCGTCAGTAAAGTCTTCCAGAATTTGATCATTATGTGGCTTTTGGTCTTGATTCAAGGTGGCCCAGACCTCTTCATTACTTGCTATTTTTTGCAGTGTGCTGACGAATAGGATGTATTGAAATGACCTTGTGTTATAACCTTCTTTGTTGCTCAAGGGTACTTCAATTGAACATGTTCAGTCTCTGGCAGACTCTATACATTGCTCACGTCATTTTCAATGGGATCAGTCCCAGTCTCAAATTCATCATGAGGCAAAACTCATCTAAGTTGGCGTTTAAAAGCTCTCTGTGGTTTCAGTAGATGTGTGACTGATACGCGCTGAAACATCTGTTTTCCCTCACCCATTAAGTCCACAGGTAATTAGAAAACGTGGTTCATGCTGGTGATAGAGGCCAACATGTGTGAGTAGTTTGGACACAGAGAAAGTATGTTTGTTGCAAAGTGGACAATTGAATAGTTAGCATTCTTCAGACAGATTGTGAACCTTGGAATGATGGGATGGAATCATGGAGATCATTGGTACTCAGCCACTTGCAGACATCATCAAGGGCCAGTCTTCCACAGCCACACTCAAATTCAAGTTGACACTAAAAGCAAAAGTGAAATGTATTAGTGTTGAGGCTAAAACAAAACCTATACCACTCTTTCCAGACAACCATCTGGTTGTTCCATAATGAAGCAGAGCTTGTCAGGAAAGGTGAAGATGTCTCTCTCTTATTTATCTGACAACATTTTTCTTAGTATGGGACATTATGGGATTCTGCAGTCCCACATTTAAGTGTTGACTCAGATAATATGATGCTCCAAATGGGGCATTAAGTTCTTCTTCCATGTCAACCCAAATTGGCCTATTAGAGTTCTCAATAAAGAGAGCCTATTTGGGCAGTTATAAAGGCTTCTTGATATAATTACATGTTAGGGAGCTTTAATCCTCCCTTCAAAATTTTTGCCTGTAATCTAGCTAAGTTAATCCTTGCCCTTTTAATAGTCCAAATAAACTGAGTAATCATTTTGTCTATGGTGTTAAAGGGGTAGGCAGGTATGGACAGTGGAAACATGCTGATGACGTAATTCAGTTTAGGAGCTTTAACCATCTTTATAACATGTGGCCTACCCCACAATTCGATTTGTAGCTTATCCCAGTTCTTAAACTGGAGTTGAATTTTGTTTGAATATACAGAATGGAAAATAAACATTTCCCTTCCCGTTCCCATAAGAAACAACTTCTCTTCTCACATACAACAAGAAGACAAAATGACACCAGACATTCACCATTCAGTTACCATTGGAAAAGAAAAAGGAATTACACAGAACACACAGTAATCACACTGTATTGATTGACTGTAAATACATTCATTCACCATTCAGTTAGTATTGGAAAAAACAAAGGATTTACACAGAACATACAATAATCACACTGGATTGATTGATTGACTGTAAATACATTCATTCACCATTCAGTTGGTATTTAAAAAGACAAAGACATCGGACTACCAGAACAAACAATAATCACACTGTAAGTACATTCATTCACCATTCATTTAGTATTGGAAAAGACAAAGAAAAAACACAGAACACACTATAATCAAACTGCAAATACATCCAAAGACTTTATAGAGGCTAACCTGTTTGTAGATCCATAGTGAGCTTTAAACATTGTCTTGCTTTGGTCTGAAATACAGAGGACAGAACAGGCCGCCCTAATACACCAACCTGAAAGACATTAATTAGACACAAAAACAACATAAACAACATGAGTATTCGATATCAAATGTATCTAACTAATCTGATCAGTTTGATGTATTCTTCTTTTTGTCAAGTTTAACATAACCTACATTGGGTTGTGTGTGTGTGTGTGTGTGTGTGTGTGTCTTACCTGTTCGTGGAGGTTGATACATTTCTCTATCAGAGCTCACAGCTCCCAAACTTAACTGGACAGGGGCAGGATAAGCCAGGTACTAAATAATAATATGCCATTTAGCAGACACTTTTATCCAAAGCAACTTACAGTCATGTGCGCATACATTTTTACGTATGGGTGGTCCGGGGATCGAACCCACTACCCTGGCGTTACAAGCACCATGCTCTACCAATTGAGCTACAGAGGACCACCTAAAGGGAGGAGGATAGAAGGAGATGGTGAGAGAGTGTATCGGGTTTAAATGAGGACAAACATTTCTCAATATTGAATCTAGCTAGCTAAAGTTAGCTAACGTTACAGTAACTTTAACTAGTTAGCTAACGTTAGCTAAAACGTACCAAAACTTATACAACAATTACCAGCTAACATTACAGGCTATGTAGCTTGGCTAGCTGACGAAGAGTACATTACATTATGTATTGTTTTTTAGTTATTTGATAGTAGTTTGATGAATTATTATCTTAACTAGCGAATAGCTAAGGTTCATTCACCTTTTACGTCGATCCGTTGCAAGTAATCTCTTATCTCTTATTGTTCTTCAAAGCACCCCTTAAATCTACAAAAATTCAAAAACGAACTGATGGCAGAATATAGGTAGGCCTGTACCGTAAGCTCTCTCCTGGCCCCTTACACTAAGTCTGAATTTGTCCTGCTAGGTGACCTAAACTGGGACATGCTTAAACCACCTGACCAAGTCCTAAAGCAATGGGACTCCCTAAATCTTTCTCAGATTATTACCATTCCCACAAGGTATGACTCCAAACACCCAGAAAAGGCTACTCTCCTTGATGTTATCCTCACAAACAATCCTGATAGGTATCAGTCCGGTGTTTTCTATAATGACCTTAGTGATCACTGTTTTACAGCCTGTGTTCGTAATGGCTGCTCAGTGAAACGACCTGTCCTGATTTGTCATAGACGCTTGCTAAAAAACATTAATGAGCAAGCCTTCCATCATGACCTGGCCTCCGTAAATTGGTATA